CACCGGTTCTAGTCAATCCAGCTGCTTCAGGATTCATGGGGAATATGGTGAAGGACCAGTGAATTCCGATGAGCATGAACCCGTCTGCCTCGGCTTCTCTTTTCCTTTTTGTTTCTTTTCTGTTCTTTTTTTTTTTTTTTTAAGGATGCCCGAGTTCATTGCTCTTGTTTCCCATGCTGGGGGAGCTGCAAATGGCACTATCTGCAGCTCAGACTGCAAGCCTCCTCCTCCCGAGACGTCGGGCAAGATTCTCCTATCTGCAGCCAACTGATCCGAGTAGTTGGGGATAGCGTGCAACACCACCTTTGCCCAGCTATTTTTGTATTTTTTTATAGGAGATGGGTTTCCCCATGTGTTGCCCAGGCGTGATTTTGGACCCTAGCCCTCAGTGATCCCCCTGATCTTGGCCTCCCAAATGCTAGGATTTACAGGGTGTGAGCCACCGGCATGCCTCGGCCCAAACACTGTCTTTTCTTAATTGTCCACTGACTGGACTGCTCTGATAGGGATTCCCAATTCCTAGCTACAGCCAGGGGTCTAAACATTTCCTGGTCTGGTTGATGGCTCCTTATGTGAGACTGTAGTTTTCCAATCGAGTCCCAAGGTCTCTATTCTGAGAGCTAAAACGGCAGTCGGGCCCATCGACTGGAAAGGTTCCATGCTCTCAAGGGCTATGTCTACCTCGCCTTCATACTTGGTACTTCCGAAGGCATGGACTTCCTCTCTCCCTTCTCTGTAGATTAGGATTTCCGCTGAAGGTTGGCACTGCTTTCTGTCGTAGGTATTGTCTCTATGCTATATTGATATTACAGATGGATATTATAGTTTATCCTATTGTAATCATTGCTCTGCTGTCTTGTGTCTAATTGTGCATCATTTTAATATTGTCTTATTATATTGTTCTCTGGGTTCTTTTATATATTCTATTATTGTCTATCATATTATCTATGCTCTTATTGTTTTGTTTGTAATTCTGGTCAAATATTGCTGTTGTAGTCTCTCATCATTGTGTCCGCTGTCACAGAGAATGCACTGCACTATGTGAAAGGAATGAGACCCAGGGATCCATATAGGATGGACTAATTAAGAGGCTGTCTGTGCCTCTTGTCTGTATCCTTTGAAAATTATGAGTAGAGCTTGATACTAGATGAGATCTCTGACTCAATTGAGCGCTGTCATTGGTCAGTCTGTGATCCTGGTTGTGTTAATTGCTTATTATTACTTTCCATTTAAAAAGCAGCAGCTGTGTTAATGCTCCCTCTAAGAAGAAGTTTTCATTTTTTTCCTTCTTTCTGGTTCTCATTTCCCTTCCCTCCTTCCCTCCCTTCCGTTCCCTCTCGTCGTCTCTTCTCTTTCTCTTTGTTTCTCTTCTCCCTCGCCTCAGGCCGTCCCTTCCCTTCCTCGCCTCACTCCCTCCCTCCCTCCCTCCCTTCCTCCCTCCCTCTCTCTCTCTCTCTCTTTCTTTCTCTTTCTCTCTTCCTCTCTTTCTCTCTTTCTTTCTTTCTTTCTTGACAAAGTCTGCCTCTGCTGCCCAGGCTGGAGTGCAGTGGTGCAATCTCGGCTCACTGCAACCTCCACCTTCTGGGCTCAAGCAGTCCTCCCACCTCAGTCTCCCAAATAGCTGGGACTACAGGTGCATGCTACCATGCCTGACTAATTTTTGTATTTTTTGTAGATACGGGGTTTTGCCATGTTGTCCAGGCTTGTCTTAAACTCCTGAGCTCAAGCAATCCACCCACCTCAGCCTCCCAAAGTGCTGGGAATACAGGCCTGAGCCACAGTGTCTGGCCAGAAAAAGTCCATTTTAACCCACTCCCCTGACCACTACCACTGCCATCCTCATCCCTTTCTTAAATGATAGGTTCCCTTGTAAACCCAGCTAAGGAGTCTGCCATTATGAATTTGGTATGTATTATTCCACACTATTTTTAAATACTGTTATATACACGTATGTTATATATATATGTGTGTGTGTATGTGTATATATCCATGTAAACATATACTGTTAGTTTTTTGTGTGTTTTAGTGTACTTGGTACCATAAAAACAAATCACTCTGAAATTTGTTTTTTTCATTCAATTATATACATATATATATATATATATATTTCAGATTATAAGTTTGTTCAATGCAAAATAATCCTCTGGCTGGGTGCGGTGGCTCATGCCTGTAATTCTAGCACTTTGGGAGGCTGAGGCAGGCGGATCACTTGAGGTCAGAAACCCAGCCTGGCCAACATGGTGAAACCCTGTCTCTACTAAAAATACAAAAATTAGCCGAGTGTGATGGTGGGCGCCTGTAATCCCAGCTACTCAGGAGGCTGAGGCAGGAGAATCGCTTGAACCTGGGAGGTGGAGGTGGCAGTGAGCCAAGATCGTGCCACTGCACTCCAGCCTGGGTGACAGAGTGAGACCCTGTCTCAAAAAAAGCTAAAAACAGAACAAAAATCCTCTCCAATTTTACTGAGGTGGCTGACCACGTCCACGACCAAATCTGCCTCTTACTGGAATTTGGTTGTTGACGCAGCCTCAACCTTGGCTCTCTTGTTGACAGCAGGCTGTTGGCTTCCCCACTTGTGGGTCTCGCAGGTGGCTCACCCTCCAGACCTTTAGGCGGAGACCTGCCAGTCTCTGGCCAGCTGTGGGGTAGGGTGGCAGGCACAATCTTGGAGGGCAGATGGAGGTCATCATGGAGATACCAGATACCCTCGTTGGTAAAGTACCCGTAGAAATGTCTCCAGGAAAACTGTTCCTGCACAAAGCCTCAGGACTTGAGAGACTGCGTGACCTTCATGACATGAAGCTTGGCCACCGTGACTCCCTCCTTTAAAAGGAGTTCGTAGAGCCGGGCGCGGTGGCTCACGCCTGTAATCCCAGCACTTTGGGAGGCCGAGGCCGGCGGATCACGAGGTCAAGAGATCAAGACCATCCTGGCCAACATGGTGAAACCTTGAGTCTACTAAAAATACAAAAATTAGCTGGGCGTGGTGGCACTTGCCTGTAGTCCCAGCTACTCAGGAGGCTGAGGCAGGAGAATTGCTTGAACCCAGGCGGTGGAGGTTGCAATGAGCTGAAATAGCGCCACTGCATTCCAGCCTGGTGAGACCCTGTCTCAAAAAACAAAAAAACAAAAAAACAAAAAGGAGTTCATAAATGGCATTCCTGTTCTTCTTAGGCATCAACATCACGGCGGCTGCAGGGTCCGGGGCCAGAACTGGAAAGGAGTATGAAATGTTTTTAAGAGCTATGTATATATCTAGTTCATCCCTCTTAATTGCAATATAGCTATGAATATGAATATGCTGCATTTTACTAAGTCATTTCCCTATTGAAAGGTAGATTGTTGAAAAACCTTCATTTTTACATTTACATTATTTACAATAAAATTACATTATATTTACATTATTTCCTTTTTCATTAAGACATGTATAAGGGCCAGGCTCTGTGGCTCACGCCTGTAATCCCAACACTTTGGGAGGCCGAGGTGGGCGGATCACTTGAGGCCAGGAGTTTGAGACCAGCCTGGCCGACATGGTGAAACCCCATCTCTACAAAAAATGCAAAAATTAGCCGGGCATGGTGGCGTGTGCCTGTAATCCGAGCTACTCAGGAGAATGAGGCAGGAAAGCTGCTTGAACCCTGGAGGTGGAGTTTGCAGTGTGCCGAGATCGTACCACTTCACTCCAGCCTGGGTGACAGAGTGAGTGAGACTTTGTCTCAGAGAAAAGAAAAATACATGTATAAGGATGTTCATTTCAAACAGTGCTGAAATGAACATTTTTATGCTTGTCCTATTGTTCACACATGCAAGCATTTCTCCTTTCACCTAGCATCTTACTTGCTAGATCCCAGGGTATACCTTTTTTATTTTTGATAGATATTGCCAAATTTCCCTCAAGAGGGCTTGTGTGAACTCACACTTTCATGAAGAGTGTGTGTCACACCTTACATACACCTAACACTTGCTATCATCAAATTTTCAAACTTTAATGAAAAAGGTATTCCATGTTCTTTTTTTAAATTCACGTTTCCCTGATTGAAGCTGAGCATGTTTCATATGTTCATTGCCATTTGTATTTCCTCTTCTGTTAATTGCCTGTTTATTTTTGATAGATATTGTCAAATTTCCCTCAAGAGGGCTTGTGTGAACTCACACTTTCATGAAGAGTAGGTGTCACACCTTATGTACACCTTTACCGTTTAAAAATTTTTTACCGTTTAAAAATTTTGTCTTTTTCATATTCCCGTAAGTATTCACTATGATGGTCTAATCTTTTTTTTCAAGGTAATTAAATGATCTCCTGGTTAAACTGGGTCCCAAAGGCTAACATTTCAACCATTATACCTTAGTCCCTCAGAAAACTAATCTTGCTGGATTGTGCTATGTGCTTGCTTTTGACTAAAGATCATTATCCACCAGGCGTGGTGGCTCACATCTGTAATCCGTAAAAATAGTTACTCTGTTTGCTCTAAAAATATTGTGACAACAATTACTCCCATATACACTTTCTTGTGATTTAGTTTATTTTTTATTTCAGTGGTAGGAGAAGTTCCACTTCCTTTCAGGAATTGGTCTACTTCTTCCTTTGGACAGTAAGGACCATATGATGGTTGTCAATCGCTTTTTATCCTGGTTCCCACGAAGTTCAGATATGACTTTGGTGTTTCGCTGCTGCAGCTGGGTGGGTCTCTACCATCTGATAATTTTATTTCTTCTTTTATGCTGGTCATGGTTTTTTTTAAAAAAATGTGCTTTGTTAGCCAGGCATGGTGGCTTTCTCCTATAGTCCTGGCTTCTCTGAAGGCTGAGGCAGGAGGATCGCTTGAGCCCAGGGGTTGGAGACCAGCCTGGGCAACATAGTGAGACCCTATCTCTACAAAAAATTTTTAAAAATTAGCCGGGCTTGGTGGCATGTACCTGTAGTCCTGGCTATGAAAAGGCTGAGATGGGAGGACTGTCTGAGCCAGGGAGGTCAAGGCTGCTGCGAGCCGTGATTGTGCCGCTGTACTCCAGCCCAGGTGACAAAGTGAAACCCTATCTCAAAAACAAAAATGAGGCCGGGCACAGTGGCTCACACCTGTAATCCCAGCACTTTGGGAGGCCAAGGCAGGTGGATCACTTGAGGTCAGGAGTTCAAGACCAGCCTGGCCAACATGGTGAAACCCTGTCTCTACTAAAAATACAAAAAAAATTAGCCAGGCGTGGTGGTGCATTCCTATAATCCCAGCTACTCAGGAGGCTGAGGCAGGAGAATCGCTTGAACATGGGAGGCGGAGGTTGCATGAGCCGAGATAGTGCCATTGCACTTCAGCCTCGGTGACAGAGCGAGACTCCATCTCAAAAAAAAAAAAAAAAAGCTTTGTTATAAACTACCTCAGTACCTTTGTGGAGGCCAGAAGAGGGGAGGAAATAAGGACAGTGGGGTGAGAATGGAGGGAGACAGGGATAACCCAATTTTGATTTCTCCACATTGTCAGGGCAAGGCTCCATGCACAGGCACCACTTTGAGAACAAACCAGGGACCAGCATCAGGGCAGCTGCTGACATTTCTGTTCTCCTTCCTACAGAGAAGGGCTGCCCCGCCCACTGCCCCTGCTGGCCCAGCCCAACCTCCCCTTTGGGTACCCGGTCCACGGAGTGGAGGTGATGCCCCTGCACACAGTTCCCATCCCGGGTAAGTACATCCACATCCCAAGAGGCCCCAGACAACATTCTCACTCTTCTTAGGCAAAAGGAGGGAGAGGTCGGGTGCAGTGGCTCATGCCTGTAATCCCAGCACTTTGGGAGGCCAAGGCAGGAGTTCAAGGCTGCAGTGAGCTATCATCTTGCCAGTACACTCCAGCCTGGGTGACAGAGCAAGATCCCGCTGTCTCTTAAAACAACAACAACAAAAAAGGGGTCGGGTGCTGTGACTCGTGCCTGCCTATAATCCTAGCACTCTGGGAGGCTGAGGTGGGTGGGCTGCTTGAGCTCAGGAGTTTGAGACCAGCCTGAGCAATATGGCAAAACCCCGTCGCTATAAAAAATAGAAAAATTAGCTGGGTGTGGCGGTGGGCACCTGTAGTCCCAGCTACTTGTGGGGTTGAAGCAGAAGGCTTGCTTGAACTTGGGAAGTCGAGGCTGCAGTGAGCAGAGATTGTGCCGCTGCACTTCAGCCTGGGTGACAAAGTGAGACATTGTCTCAAAAATAAATAAATAAATAAAAATAAAAGTATGGAACAGGCATTCATTGGTACCTGCTGTATACTCAGCACAAGGCAAGAAGCTTGATGTGATTTTTTTTTTTTTTTTTTTTTGATGGAGTCTCGCTCCATCTCTCAGGCTACAGTGCAGTAGCATGATCTCGGGTCACTGCAACCTCCACCACCCGGGTTCAAATGATCCTCCTGCTTCAGCCTCCCGAGTAGCTGAGATCACAGGCGTCCACCACCATGCTTGGCTAATTTTTTGTATTTTTAGTAGAGATGGGTTTTCACCATGTTGGCCAGGCTGGTCTCGAATTCCTGACCTCAGGTGATCTGCTCACCTCGGCCTCCCAAAGTGCTGGGATTACAGGCATGAACCACCGAGCCTGGCCGGGAGTGCATTGTGAAAAGAATATTTCTGTTGGTTAAAACTGCCCTCCATGGTGGATTTTTACACACCCCTCTAGTTCAGCATCACATCCCTCATCAGAGTAAAGTGGAATATTATCAGAGGGACCAGAAGGATGAGCCTGCAGGCACAGACGTCCCCTCCCAGTGCAGAGATGTTGGATTCTGTGGGGCTGTCCAGTGAAGTCTTCTTCTGCTTGTGGGCTCTTGGCATCTTGAGGCAAATAGCCCCCGGAAACCCGCAAGCTCCAGAAAAGACCTCCAAGTAAGGTCTGGGTGTGGTGACACCTGGGGATCTGACATACTTCATGGACCCAGCCTAGCTCTCTCTAGGTCCAGCAATGAGGAGCATGACAGATATCTGAAATTCACAAACCACACCTCAAACAGGTGAGATGAGAATGAGTGCCCGAGACACAGGGGGATGCGGGACATCAACAGATGGCACGCCCCACACAGAAGGAAGGGCAGGGTCCCAGACAGGGGACAAAGGGGACAGGGAAGCAGAGGTGAGAGTTTAGTAAGTTATCAAGGCCACATAGAGAGGATGTATTTGAATTCAAATTTGAATTAGTCCTACTATGAGAACAGAGATAGATTCTAAAGTAAATGCATTTGGAGTCAAGCACTAGTGTTCTTGAATAGCCATCTTAAAAATTGTTTTTCATTTTGGATGATTCATTTCTTATTGTGGTAAAATATATATAATGCACTGGGCACAGTGGCTCATGCCCGTAATCCCAGCACTTTGGGAGGCTAAGGCTGGTGGATCACTTGAGGTCAGGAGTTTGAGACCAGCCTGGCCAACGCGGTGAAACCCCATCTCTACTAAAAATACAAAAATTAGTCGAGTGTGGGGGCTCACACCTGTAGTCCCAGCTACTCGGGAGGCTAAGGCAGGAGAATCACTTGAACTCGGGAGGCAGAGGTTATAATGAGTTGAGATCGCACCACTGCACTCCAGCCTGGGTGACAGAGTGAGACTCTGTCTTAAAAAAAATATATATATATACACACACACACACACACACATATGTATATATGTTATATAGAAGTATATAATTTTATATGGAAACATATAGCATATATAAAAATGTATATGTTATATAGAAGTATATATATTTTATATAGAAATATATATTACATTAGTACTATATATAAACATATATATTATATTAACATTATTTACAATACATGATATATAAACATAAAATTAACAATTTTAACCATTTTAAAGTGTAAACTTCAGTGACACGAAGTATATTCATGTTGTTATGCAACCATCAGTCACCACCAGAACTTTTCCATCATCCCCAACTGAAACTCTCTTCTCTAACTGAATTCCCCACTGTCCCTCTCCCCCGCCCCTGGCAACCACCATTCTGCTTTCTGTCTCTATGGGTTTGGCTACTCCAGGTGCCTTATACAAGATGATTCATTATTCATCCACCAGTTCCTCCCTTTCAGTAACACAGATTCGCAGAAGGAACGGAATTAATTCACAGCCTCCAAAGCTGAGGATGGGCCATCAGAGGTTTTAGAACTGTTGGGGTTTGAGAAAGACCATGAAACAACACCTAACAGAGGCCTGGGGAGAGGAGCACATGTCAGCAAACACTCTGGGTGGGAAGTGACACTTGAAGGAGCCCTCAAGGATGTGCAGGAGTCCACGAGGTTGGCAAGAGCAGCGGGGAGCTGCGGTGTCTCTCACGAGCCGTTTTCTTTCCTTTTCCCTGTGTCCTCCAGGTCTCCAGTTTGAAGGACCCGATGCTCCCATCTATGAGGTGAGTCCTCCTCCCAGCCCCTCTTTGCACTTGGTGTCCTGTCCTCATTCCCTCAACTGCGGCTGCTCTCAGCCTTTGATGGACCCCCTGTCCAGATTTAAGGTCAGACATGAGCCCAAGGAGGGAGGGGAAGGAAGGGTGTGTAGAAAACGTGACTTCTAGCCTTGGGAGTGGCTGGAGTTCCAGAGAGGATTTCTCAGACCACACTGAAGAATGGGATCCATTGGCTGCTCCTGCTTCTGGTGTGAGAGGAAGCGGCCACCACAGCCATGGGCTCTGGCACGGCATGGCCTCTGTCAGGGTTCAGGCTGGCAGGACAGACGGTGCTTGTGCCCTGCCTTTCTTTCCCCACTTTACGCAGCTCCACATTAAGGTCTTATGGTGCTATATCTGGTCAGTGGATGCAAATCGCGTCCAGAACCCTAACCAAGAGGAGTCTGGGAAGTGTGGTTTTAGTTTTCCCACCTTTACATGTTAGTCAGAGGTTGGAATGGGTGATGAGGGAGCAGATAGGCAAGGCCTCTGCCACCCGTCACCGTTGGGTTCTTGTTTATGTTGTCTTCTTTTTTTGAGACAGGGTCTCACTGTCACCCAGGCTGGAGTGCAGTGGCGCAATCATGACTCACTGCAGACTTGACCTCCTGGGCTCAGGCAATCCTCCCACATCAGCCTGTGAGTAGCTGGGACTACAGGCACGCACCAACAAAGCTGGTTAATTTTTTTTTTTTTTTTTTTAAGACAGAGTCTCCCTCTGTCACCCAGCCTAGAGTGCAGTGGTGTGATCTCTGCTCACTGCAACCTCCACCTCCTGAGTTCAATTGATTCTCCTGCCTCAGCCTCCCAAGTAGCTGGGACTACAGGTGTGCACCACCACACCCAGCTAATTTTTTTGTATTTTTAGTAGAGACAGCGTTTCACCACATTGGCCAGGCTGGTCTCGAACTTCTGACCTCAAGTGATCCATCTTGACCTCCCAAAGTGCTGAGATTACAGGCATGAGCCACCGTGCCTGGCCCCTGGTTACTTATTATTTATTTTTAGTAGAGATGTGGTCTCGCCATGTTGCCTAGGCTGGTTTTGAACTCCTGCGCTCAAATGATCCTCCCACCTCGGTCTCCCAAAGCACTGGGATTACAGGCATGAGCCATCATGCCTGGCTATATTGTCTTCTTCGTAGTCCTGCTCTGGACCTGAATTCCCTGCTGCACGTAGTTCCGTGCTTACCATCTCTCTTCCACACTGGAATATAAGCTTCATGAAGGCATTTACTGCTGTTTTCCCAGTGCCTGTAACTCGGTATTTATTTATTTATTTATTTATTTATTTATTTATTTTGAGATGAAGTCCTCACTCTTGTCCCAGGCTGGTAGGCAATGGCACAATCTCGGCTCACTGCAACCTCTGCCTCTCGTCCAGTTTTA